AAAATGCCAGGCCATGGTTAGAGAGGTTCTGCTGCCCAGGGCAGGCAGGGGGGTGCCAGCATCCCATGGGGATGGGTCTGGCAGCTGCATCCCTGCCAGGAGGGACCATCATCCTCTCCAGACACTCCCTCATGTGGAGCAAAACCTGTTCCAAAAGTCATTCTGCACCTCCATGTTCCATATTCCTGCCCCAGCCCTCATTCCTGCAGCTTTTCCCCCTTTCAGGAGTTCAGGCCAGTGTTTCTGTCCTTCCCCCTCCCTGGGATCCTGGAGCTGTCCCTGGCAGGTGACACAGCCCGTCCCCACCTGGCTCAGCATCCCCAGGGCTCCTGCAGCCACTTCCCTGGAGAGGAGCTGAACCTGCTGCCTCCCCGGGGAGCTCCAGGCTCTCCAGATTTTATCCTGTGTTTAATTATTGCCATCTGCTGCTCCCAGCTCCGGGGCTGCCTGCTGCCTCCCAGGCTCTGGTTAAGCCAAGCCCATTGGATTTCCCTCCTGTGTGGACTCCTGGCTCATTTTCCTGGTGATGCTCCCATTCCCTTCTGACCTGGGGTATCTCTTTCCTTCCCATTCCACTCAATTTTGCAGTTTCATCTCGCTAAATCCTTCCCATTTTTCATCGTATTCATCAGCACTGAGGGGTTGCTGGTGGATTTTTGATGGTTTGTTCCAGGCTGCAGCATTCCCAGCACAGATCCCATAAAACATTGAATGAAATGAGCAGGAGGAACCCCCCAGAGAGAGGAAACCAAGATCATTAAATGCCCCAAACCCCCTTCCAGAGGAGCTCATGGCCCACTAACAACTCAGAAGCTGAAGAAGAAGCAAATCCTTGTGGTTCAATGAATCCTCAAGATTCCTGTAACACCTCCCAGGCCCTCAATTCCTGGAGCATTCCCGGTTTGTTGTCTCTGGTGGGGGGAGAGTTCAGCTGCTACCCCAGCACACATCATAGGAGTGTGTCCCTGGTGGTCCCCATGCTCCAGGTGCAGTTTGGGGTCCCTGCCACCCCCAGCAACCCCAAGAAATTGTGTCAGAGGGGATCATGGATGTGTGTGACCCTGACCTGGGTCCTGTGCTGCTGTTTGAGGGTCGCAGGACGAGGGAAGAGATGAGAATCTCGACTCCATGTTTCAGAAAGCTGATTTATTATTTTATGATATATATTATATGAACAGAAAATGATATATTCAAACTCTACTAAAAGAGTAGAAGAAAGGATTTCATCAGAAGGCAGGAAAGGAAAGGAAAGGAAAGGAAAGGAAAGGAAAGGAAAGGAAAGGAAAGGAAAGGAAAGGAAAGGAAAGGAAAGGAAAGGAAAGGAAAGGAAAGGAAAGGAAAGGAAAGGAAAGGAATGATAATAAAATCTTGTGACTGCTCACAGCCTCGACACAGGTGGCTGTCATTGGTCATCAAGTAAAACCAATTTCACATGCTGGGTAAACAATTCTCCAGATCATATTCCAAAGCAGCAAAACGTGGAGAAGCTGGAGCTTCTCAGCTTCTCAGGAGAAAAGATCCTGGCAAAAGGATTTCTCATAAAACATGTCTGTGACAGGTCTCACCTTCCTCTGCCCCTTCAGCACCTTCCTGCCCTCCTGCAGGGCTCTGCTGTTCCCAGGGAACCTGACCAAGGAGCTCATCCATCCCTGCCCATCTCCAGTGGGATTAAGGTTTATTTCTGCCCTTCCCTCCTCGATCCCATTAGGGGCATTAAAGCAGGAGCCAGTGGCCCCAAGGAGCTTCCATGTGACTCCAGGAGCTTTTTTAGGCTGAGACCCCACTAAGCCACCAAAAGTGTCCCTGCTTAGAGGAGGAAATCCTCCCTCACCAGGTCTATCCAGTGGGATTTGCCCCATTTGGGTTGGAATTGCCTGTGGGACCTGTACAGCTGTGCTGTGAGGGCCCCAATGAAGGAGGAATGATGAGGAGGACTCTATTGGCATCAGAAGGCTAATTAATTACTTCATTATACCATATTATTCTATACTATATTACACTATGTTATTCTATACTATATTACACTATATTACCCATCTAAACTGAATCTGCCAAGCACCCAACCCTGCTCACCCTGCCCAGAATCTCGTGACTGTCCCCCAACAGTCCTGACACACACACACACACCTGGCCCTGACAGGCCAAGGGAACCAAACCCCATCACTGTGGGTGAACAATCTCCACATTGCATTCTGCTTTGGCACAAACACAGAACAGCAAATGAGATAAGAATATTCTTGGGGAGAATTGTGCCTTGCTTTTCTCTGTGAGGAGAAATGTGGGGCTACAGACCTGGAGGTCATGGCATGGGGCAGGTGTTGGTGGCTTGGCCAATGTCCCCGGGTGCAGGGACAGCTCCATGGGCTCCTGGGACAGCGGTGCTGTACCCCAGGGGAGCTCAGGGTGGTGACAACCCTGGGTTTGTGTCCCCAGCCAGCCCCAGGGTCCTGGTCCCCGGTGGGGCTTTTCAGAGCGGGGTCTGATCCCATCCCCATGGCCGGGACCCGCGGGAGGGGCACGGGCAGGACCCGGTGGGCCCGGGTTGGGCACTCCTGGGGCTGGGCACTCCCGGGCTGGGCACTGCCGGGTTGGGCACTGCCGGGTTGGGCACTCTGGGGTTGGGCACTCCAGGGCTGGGCACTCCCGGGGCTGGGCACTCCCGGGCTGGGCACTCCGGGGCTGGGCACTCCCGGGCTGGGCACTCCCGGGTTGAGCACTCCCGGGTTGGGCACTCCCGGGGCTGGGCACTCCCGGGCTGGGCACTCCCGGGTTGAGCACTCCCGGGTTGGGCACTCCCGGGGCTGGGCACTCCCGGGCTGGGCACTCCTGGGGCTGGGCATTCCCGGGGCTGGGCACTCCCGGGGCTGGGCACTCCCGGGCTGGGCACTCCCGGGCTGGGCACTCCCGGCTCCCGGCGCTGCTGCGGCTGCCGGGGCAGCTCTGATCCGGCCGGGGGCTGGGCTGGGGCAGGGAATGTGTGTGTGAGTGTGAGCGTGAACGAGTGTGAGTGTGCGTGAGTGTGCGTGAGTGTGAGAGTGTGTGTGTGTGAGTGTGAGAGTGTGTGTGTGTGTGTGTGAGTGTGTGTGTGTGACCATGTCTGAGTGTGTGTCTGCACATGTGTGTGTGTGTGTGCACGAGTGTGAGAGTGTGAGTGTGTGAGTGTGAGTGTGAACACGTGTGTGAAAGTGTGTGAGTGAACATGTGTGTGTGTGAGTGTGCACGTGTGGTGAGCGTGTCTGTGAATGTGTGTGCACATGTGTGTGAGTTTGCATGAGAGTGTGTGAATGTGTGCACGTGTGTGTGTGCACGTGTGTGCGTGTGTGTGAACACATGAGTGTGCATGTGCACACGTGTGTGTGAGTGTGAATGTGTGTGTGTGTGTGTGTGTGTGTGTGTGTGTGTGTGTGTGTGTGTGTGTGTGTTCCACAGGGAATCCCCTCATCCTTCAGCCTGGAACCCCCCAAGATCAGAGTCCGGCCATTCCCTCAGCCCCTCCCCTGTCCCCAAGTGCCACATCCCGCGGCTGCTCTGTCCCCTCCCCTGTCCCCAAGTGCCACATCCCGCGGCTGCTCGGTCCCTCCCCTGTCCCCAAGTGCCACATCCCGCGGCTGCTCGGTCGCTCCTGGCGGCTCCTGCCCAGCCCTTTCCGTGCAGGATTTCTCCCTCAAACCCACGGAGCCCCTGCAATGCGTGTGCTCTGTGCTCACACACACGGGTGTGATCCCAAACACCCGGGGACACGGCGGGACACCCCGGGGGTGGCACACGGGTCCCCGTGCCAGGCTCGGGCTGTCCCGGGTGCTGCTGTGGCACGGGCGGGGCCAGGGGAGGGCCGGGACCTTGAGCACGAGGGGGTGGGACAAACTCTGGGACAAGGAGGTGACACGGCTGCGGCACTGGGAGCCAGGAGGTGCCACACGTGCGGGCACAGTGACAGGGAGCGCCACACACCGTGGCAGGGGGTGCCACACTGCACAGACTGCCAATGTCACACAGGTGTGACAGGGAATGTCACACTGTCACATAGATGTGTCAGGGAGTGCCACACATGCACACAGGTGTGACAGGGAATGTCACACATGCACCCGTATGAGCACATCGAACAGCCCAGCAGAGGTGACATACACAGACACACACATCTGTGACACTGCACACATACGTGACAATTCACACCGGTGACAATGCACACGTGACAGTGTACACACACATGAAAATGTGACAATTCACATCTGTGACAATGCACACACCTATGACAATTCATACATGTGATGCTGCACACACGTGACAATTCACACACATGACAATTCACACATATGTGACAATGCACACGTGACAGTGTACACACTCATGAAAATATGACAATTCACACCTGTGACACTGCACACACCTGTGGCACTGCTCACACCTGTGACAATGCACGCATGTGACAATTCACACCTGTGGCACTGCCCACACCTGTGACAATTCACACCTGTGACACTGCCCACATGTGTGGCACTGCACACACCTGTGACAATGCACACACACCTGTGAGAGTTCGCATACATGACAATTCACACCTGTGGCACTGCCCACGCCTGTGACAATGCACACCTGTGACACTGCCCACACTTGTGGCACTGCACACACCTGTGACAATGCACACACCTGTGGCACTGCCCACGCCTGTGCTGGAGCAGTGCAGGTGGCTCCAGGGGACAATGGCCATGCAGGTGTACAGGGAACCTTTGTCCCCACCTCTGCCTTTGTCCCCACCAGCCTGGCCCCGTGCCTCAGTTTCCCCCTTGAGCAGCACCCAGGTCCTGCCCCTCATGGCACAGCCACCCCAGCACTGATCACTAATTAACGAATCACTAATCACCTCCCTGGTTAATCATTTCTTTCTCCTCCTCCCCGCAGCTGTGGCCACCCCTCCTGTGCACACAGCATCTGTGCCAAGGACCTTGGCTCGTCCTCCCTGCAGTGACTCCCAGCAGGGATTCCCAGTGACTCCAGTGACTCCCAGCAGGGATTCCCAGTGACTCCAGTGACTCCCAGTGACTCCCAGCAGGGATTCCCAGTGATTCCCAGTGACTCCCAGCACTGATTCCCAGCAGGAATTCCCAGCGGGACACCGGTGAGTTCACACCCCCACCGCCACCAGCTTGGGGACATCAGTCCCAGCATTGCCACCAGCACCTGGCCTGGAGGGGATGGGTCTGCTGGGGGGGTGGTTCGGGGTCCCTGTGCTCTGTGTGGGGTGGAGGGGATCTGGGGGGTGGAGGGCCCCTTGTCCCTGCTAGGTCCTGTGCCCCCCTTGTGCCACCCCTGGGCCACCCCTGGGCCACCCCTTGGCCACTCCCACCTCCCATGGCAAAAGCCCAAAGTGTTTCCAGAGCTGAGCAAACACCTTGAGAAGGTCCCAGCAGTGCAGGCATCTGAATGGCTCCGTGCCAGTTGGATTTTCCTGATACCAGGGGCATCCCAGGAGTGCCCCCACCCACCCAGGGCACCCAAGCTCCTGCTGCCAGCAGGAGCCACTCTCCAAGGGACTCAGGGGTGCCCCAGGCTGGGGACTCCATGCAGTTCCCTGGCAGTGCTGGCTCAGCCTCCATTCCTGTCACCTCTGCAGCCCCCTCCCTGCTCTCCATCCATCATCCATCATCCATCCATCCATCCATCCATCCATCATCCATCCATCCATCCATCCATCCATCCATCCATCATCCATCCATCATCCATCAATCATCATCCATCCATCCATCATCCATCCATCCATCATCCATCCATCCATCATCCATCCATCCATCCATCCATCCATCCATCATCCATCATCCATCATCCATCCATCCATCCATCCATCCATCCATCCATCATCCATCCATCCATCCATCCATCCATCCATCCATCCATCCATCATCCATCCATCATCCATCCATCCATCCATCCATCCATCCATCCATCCATCCATCCATCATCCATCCATCCATCATCCATCCCTCATCCATCCATCATCCATCCATCATTCATCCATCCATCCATCCATCCATCCATCCATCCATCCATCATCCATCCATCCATCCATCCATCCATCATCCATCCATCATCCATCCATCCATCCATCATCCATCCATCCATCCATCCATCCATCCATCCATCCATCCATCCATCCATCCATCCCTCTCCCATCCATCCCACCATGGATGACGCTCTGGGGATGCTGTGGTTGCTCCCATGTGGTCACAGCCCATTGTCCCCCCCAGCTCTTTCCCTGCTCTGTTTTCACCCCCCTTGTCCCAGCCTTATTGGTGACCCCCTCTCTGCCTCCCCCAGGTCAGAGGCAGAGGGGACGCAGCCAGGACAGATCCCTGTCCCCCGTGGTGTCCCTCACCTGGGCACGGGGCAGACGCGGTGCCAGGCCAGGCTGGAGGGTGCCCGGTAAGGCTGCCTGGGCTCGGGGGGGTGGTGGGAGCCCCCTCCCTCCCAGCAGTGCCCAGCAGAGATCAGAGCACCCAGAGGTGCCAGGGTGGGGGTGGCCAGTCCCAGGGGCTGCAGGGTGGCCCTGCCTTTGCTCCTGGAGGGCAGAGAGAGTGCAGGGGGGAGCAGAGGGCACCAGAGCCACCAGCCCAGAGCAGAGCCAGGTCCCTTTAGCTTGCCGTGCTCCAGGGGTGACACAGGGGACATCTCTCCCCAGGGTTAGCATGACCGAGGTGGAACCCGTGCTGGACTTCGCATCCTCCGGCAGGACGGGCCGGCGCAATGCCCTGCCCGACATCCTGGGCTCGCCTGCCGGCGTCAGCCCCGCCGACCTGCCCCTCAAACTGGCCGAGATGTCCCTGAGCGCAGGTGGGTGACCAGGAGGACGGGGAGGACGTGGGGTGGGCAGGGACAGCGGCTCCCGTGTTCATCCCGTGCTGAGGGACAAGGACACCGAGGGGCTGGAGCGAGTCCAGGGCAGGGAACGGAGCTGGGAAGGGTCTGGAGCCCCAGGAGAGGCTGAGGGAGCTGGGCAGGGGCTGAGCCTGGAGCAAAGGAGGCTCAGGGGGCCCTTGTGGCTCTGCACAGCTCCTGCCAGGAGGGCACAGCCAGGGGGCCCTGTTCCTGTCCAGGGAACAGGGACAGGAGCAGAGGGAATGGCCAGGGGAGGCCCAGGTTGGATATTGGGGATAATTTCCCCATGGAAAGGGTGTCCAGGCATTGGAACTGCCCAGGGGGGTTTGCAGTGCCCATCCCTGGAGGTGTCCAAGGTCACTGGGCTGGGGACAAGGCAGGTCAGACTCGATGCACAGGTCGGACTCGATGCTCTTGGAGCTCTTTCCCAGCCCCAATGACTCCGTGGTTCCCTGCTCTGACCCCTTGCCATGACCGTGTCGCGCTCTCTCCCCGCAGGCAGTGCCCAGGACATGCAGTCGCCCTCAGCGGAGGCGCCCCCTCCGCAGCCGCCCAGCCCCGAGCTGAAGGACACGTCCTAACCCCGCCCGGGGGGACATTTGTGACCGGCGGAGGAAGGAGGGGGCTGCG